TGCACTCTATTTTGGGATCAATCTAATCAGCTAGAAGGTCATGACTGTGTCAGCACGTTCCCATCTAGCCAGGCCTGAATGCTGATGAGCCCTGAATGGTTCATTCCTGTTGTCATGCTGAAGCTTTCAACATTCCCCAGGATATATAGCTTAGGCACTCAACCCACTTCTCACATCCTTTTCCTTTCTTGGCCTCTAAAATGATGGCTGCCTTTCTAGAACTACCAATGCTCTGATTGTTGTGTACTTTTATTCAGTGAAGTCTTATCTTTCCCCTAAATTCAATCTTCGAGGGTATGGTATGTGTATCTTATCCCTCAGAGCCTCTATCATAGTTCTGGGCATTAGAAAGTGCTACTGAATAGAACTAAGCCAGCCCTGTCAAATAATTTTAATATGTGTTTCTAAAAAATGACTTAATATGTGTCTGTGAATTTATGTGCACCACATGCCTACAGTTGCCTATGGAGGCCAGAGGGCATCAGCTCCTCTGGAACTGGAGTTGCAGGCTGTTGTGAGCTATCAGATATGTGTGCTGGGACCTGAACTTGGGTCTTCTGCAAGAGCAGTAAGCAGTCTGAACCACTGAGCTATCTCTCCAGTCCCCAGTACATGTACTTCTAAGAAGGAATTCTGTAGCCTCTCACATATGTTTTCTTGTATCAGACTGAGAAGGTTTGAAAATTTTCTAGATATTTCACTTTGTTGTGATTTTTTTTTTTTTGCTGATAATAAGGTTAAGTAAAAGGTTATCTGGGTTCCAGTGTTTATCTAATTCAACAACCTTCGTATTGCCCATGACATGCTCACTTACAGATTTTCTGCTTGAAGAGCCTAACCTTTACTACAATGTGGGCTATATTTTATTCCTCCTACAGATGTAATGGTTTCTTTTTCTACAAGATCATGTTTTATTGGATTAAAAAAATATAAAAGGGTTAATGGCTAAATAATTGTATTTTTGGCTTCCGTAATCTTTTTCTCTTTACCCTTCAGGGTTCTGCCTCCCTGAAGGAAGGGCTTTTAAAGGAGTTTGCTTGGTGTGTCAAGTAGGTGGGGACAAGCCCTTTCTCTTGCAGTAGGCAAGGTGGTGAGATTCAGCTCATCAAAATATTTATTGAGCTCTTCTGGCTCATCTAGCTTTGTTCACAGTGCAATAGAGAACACCAAGATGGGAGGTGATGACTGGGTGGAAGGGCAGGGGCGTAAGGGGTATGGCAACCCACATAGGAGGGTTCTAGAGAGGAGAAAAGGGAAAGAGAGCAAAGGTGAACTCTCTGGTCTATATATACATATATTTTTTTTAAATTAAATTGCTTTGTTTATTTTACAAATTGACCTCAGTTTCCCCTCCCTGCTCTCCTCCCATTCCTTCCCCCCCACCACTTCCCACCTATCCCTCCCCATCCACTCCTCCTCCATCTCCATTCAGAAAGAAGCAGTCCTCCAAAGGGAGTCAAGAAAGCATGGCACATCAAGTTGAAACAGGACCAACCTCCTTCCCCTGAATCAAGGCTGAGCAAGGCAGCCCTGCTTGAGGATTGGGTTCCCAAAAGTCTCTGTCCTGCTTTTACATGATAGCACCTTAAGGGCCCAAGAACCACTGCCACAGTGGTTTGAGCTTGGATTTTGAGAGCCTTTAGAGCAATTAGGATAGCCACAATTACAGTTCAAAGTAGGTAGTTTTTGTGTGTGTGTAACCACAATAGATTTTCGAGACAAGGTTTCTCTGTATTGCTTTGGAGGCTGTCCTGGAACTAGTTCTGTAGACCAGGCTGGCCTTGAACTCACAGAGATCTGCCTATCTCTGTGTCCTGAGGCTAAAGGCATGCACCACCAATGCCCAGCCATTGTTTTGTTGTGTTTTTATGAGGCAGGGTTTCTCTCTTTAGCAGTCCTGGCTGTCCTGGATCAGGATGGCCTTGAGCTCACAGAGTTCTGCCTGCCTCTTCATGCTGAGTATCAAACCCAAGCACTTTCTCTGAGTTAAATCCTTAGTCCCTAGAGTCTGTCTGTTCTCTCCCCCCCCCCTTGTCTCTCTTGTCTTTTTTTTTTTTTTGAGATAAGCTCTCACTATGTAACCCTAGCTATTCTGGAAATCATTATGTAGACCAGGTTGGCCTCAAACTCACAGATTCACCTGCTTCTGCCTCCCAAGTACTGGGACTGAAGGATTGTCAGGTTATTTGTGGGGGGTAGATTTATTTGATATTGTATAAACGAATACCATGTGAGTAATGGGAGGTTGTGAGCCACTGTGTAGGTGCTGGCAATTGACCCCAAGTCCTCTGCAAGGGCAATAAGTATTCTTATTTTTCCCCTTGACACTGGGTTGCTTTGAGTAGTTCTGGCTGTCCTGGAACTCAAGGATGGCCTCCAACAAACAAAGCTCCTCCTGCCTCTGCTTCCCAAGTGCTGGGATTAAAGGTGTGCACCACCACTGCTGATCCAAGCAATAACTATTTTTAGTGATTGCATCTTTCCAGCACCTGCTAGTATTTTTTTGTGTATAAATGTTTTGCCTGCATGTATGTGCACAATATGTATGTCCAGGGCCATCAAAGTTCAGAGAGGGGTGGTATATCTCCTGTAACTGGACTTATAGACCACTGTGAGCCACTAAGTGGATGCTCGGATCTGACCCAGGTGCTCTTCAAGAACAGCCAGTTCTCTTAACTACTGAGCCATCTCTCCAACTCCCTAATTTTTTGAATGATAATAGGTGACAATTACTGTGTGATTGTTGTGTTTGAAGCACTTTCTCTCTCCCCAGCATTAACTCATTTACTCTTCATCACAAACACACGAGGTAGACAAAATTATGATTCAGACTTGGCATGGAACAGCTTAATACTTTGCTAAAGTGCACATAGCTTTTAAGTATCATTGTAGCCCTTTTGGTTTTACAAATAATCTTTATTGTATAGTACATGTCAGAAGGCAAATTTGGGAGCTAGTTCTCTTGTTCTCTCCTTCCCCATGTGGGATTTGAGGATTGAATTTAGGCCATCAGGCTCAGAGGCAAGTGTCTTTATTCACTGACCCAAAAGTATAATGTTTTCTTGAGACAGGGTCTCATGTAGTCCAGGCAGAACTTGAACTCACTATAACTTTGAACTACTGATCTTCTTGCTTCTACTTCCTGAGTGCTGGGATTAGAAAGTGTTTATATGGCACTGGAGACAGGGCCTTATATATGCTAGAAAGCACTCTGAGAAATGCTCCTAGCCCTGGTTTTTGTTGTTGTTGTTTTTGAGACAAAGTTGTACTCTGTAGCTTGGCTGCTATGAGATTTACTCCATAGGCCAGGGTAGTCTTCCTCCCACTTCAACCTCCCGTGTCTCAGGCCTGAGCCACATCCCAGGTTGGCAGTGTGGTCTTGAATCTTGGATTGACTCAGTACTTATTATTAGAGGTACTGGGCCTTGTTTTATTCACTCCCTGGGAATATTATTCACATTGCCTTTGCATATAATCATTGTGGTATACTTTGAATGAAGTGAAATACCAATTAAAATGTGCTTCCTGTTTAAGGTCAATTACACAAGCACAAAAAGTAGCCAAGTGTGCAGAGGGAAGGTTTGTAATCTCAACACTTAGGAAGCAGAGGCATAAGGATCAAGAGTTCAAGCCCAGCCTATGCTGCATGAGATGCAAACAAAACCATTATTAGGTCTCAAACCAGGGACAAACAGCTGAGGTGCCTATTTAACATCAAAATAGGCCTCACTACCAGCATACCTTAGTCCTTATCTGTTAATAGGGTATGACTGGCATATCCTACCACCTACTCTAAACTCCCCAAGCTTAGGGTTTGGGCTGCCCTCCCCTATATGATCTAACAATTCTGGTTACTTGTTCTTTTCGGGTTTTTTTTCTGTCTACTTTTTACCCTTCTGACCTCTTGGTCTGGTGCTACCCGTTCCCTACTCCTCACATGGCCCAAACTCAGGGTCATGTTCACTCTGAACTCTCCCAGATGTCTCTGCCTCTGTCTATGGCTTCCCTTTTATCTACAATAAACCTTCTCCTCCATCATACCTAGGAGAGGTCACATCCTCCTATTTATTTATTTATTTATTTATTTATTTATTTATTCTTTCAATCACCCAAACTCAAACACTTTTTTTTCTATTGCCACATAAAATAGATGGGCAAGGATTGTCTGAAAAATTCTCTGGCTTACTATAGGGCTTCTCCCATGAGAAAGGACATAATGAAACCACCTTGCTTCTTTTATCCAAATCTTCCAACTCTCATATATATGGATGCTTGAAATTCTTTTGAAAATGTTTTATGCTAGGTCTGTACTCCCAAAATTTGGTTAGTTTACATAGTGAGTTACAGGTCACCCTGGGGTGCAAGTCATAACATGCCTCACTTTTTTCACATTTTAATTAATTGATTAATCAATCGTGTATGGACAGTCAAGGGTTTATGTGTGTGAAGATCTGAGTTCCTTTTTTTCCACTTGGTAGGTCCCCGGGGGATGGAAATAAGGTTTGGCTGCAAGCTCCTTCTTTGCAGGGAGAGATGGCTGAGCCGATAAAAGAGCTTGCTACCAAATCTGATGGACTGAGTTCTATACCAGAGAGCTACAGAGTAGAAAGAGAAAAATGACGTTAGCAAGTTGTCCTCTGACCTCCACACATGGGTCATGGCACATGTGAGCTAAACAAGTACGTATAATTAAAAAAAGAAGAAGAACAGAAAAATATTCTTTGGGTTGAAAGAATTCAAGCGTAGCATCGCTGGATGGGCAATGCCATTAACAAGGTGATGTGAATTTCTTCAGATTTTCTTCTTTGACTTACCCAGATTCCTATTTGATGAGGAGAAAAGACCAGCGGTGGACGGGGTAGCAGAGTGGAACTTGGAAAAAAAAAAAAGTTCCGCCAGCAGCTGAGACAGGAGCACTTCCTTGGAAAGGCTCGGTAGAGTTGGCCAGATTGGGCGGGGTGCTAGCAGGAGGAGGAGCCCCGCAGCGCTGGGAGGAGCAGGGGCAGGCGAGCCTGAGCGCCGCGCACCAGGAAGTGACTCGCCCCTGTGACCTCCCGCCCCAAGCGCCATCCGCTCGCCTTTTGGTTTGCCACTGCACGGCCATCGGAGGCTTTAGTGGCTCCGAAGGAAGGAGTGGTGGGTAAGTAGCCTGGAAAGCCCAATTTTAGGAGATCTGTCTCCTGTGCCCAAGTGTAGGCTTTGGGACAGGAAGGAGGCAGGTGGGGCCAGGAAGTCCACTCAGGGTGGCTGTGCCTGATCGCGGTCAGCCTGATGTCTACCTTTGCAGCCCCCTATCCCTCCCCTAGCTCAACCCTGCAACCTGCCTACAGTTTGTGGGTTTGTGGTGGTGTGTACTAGCATCTGTCTGCTAACCCACTTAGTTGACATTTCCCATTGCTGTGGTAAAATACCCTGACAAAAGCAGCTTTAAAGAAGAAAAGGGTTTGTTAACTGTACAATTGCAGCTTCCAGCAAATTGGTTAGGAAAAAATTAAGACAAGAACTTGAAGCAGCTAGTCAGTTACATCCACAGCCAATGGCATGGAGAGAAAGCATATATGCTTTCTACTATGTTCTGCAGTCCAGGACTGAAACCCACAGTAAGCTGGGTCTTGCCACAACAGTTAGCATAACCAAGACAAGTTGTCTCACATCGTCCACAGGCCAACTTGATCTAGCCTATCCGTCCTTAGATATCTATCCCTACATATTCTACCCCACGGTGTAGTCTTGACAATTAAAATGAAGCATCCCACACACCTTATAGACACTTGGGGGACAGACTTATTCAGAGAGGCCTGGCTGGGGAAGGATATACCTGGCTGCTTGAGATTTGCTGTGGAACAAACACATTAGTAAATAAATTTCTCCTCTGCATTAGTCAGTAACCTTGGCTGGGGTCCAGGCAATAGAAGGGCAGGTAATCAAGAGTTCCTACGTATAGGTAGGTGAATATTTTGCTTCAAGGGGATCTTCAGCTCTGTGAGACTTAGACCTTTCAGGTTGTCTTTGACTTGTACTTCTGAGCACTGGAGTTAGATTAACCATTGAAGCTCAGGAAAGTAAACATAACTCTAGATGATTCCTATAAACTCTTGGATTTTCCAGTGACTAATCCCAAGGCAGGAACAGAGAAGTTCTCCCCCCCTTGTCTCTCTGTCAACCCCCGTGTCTCTCTGTCAAACAGAGATGTTTTTCTCTCTCACACACATCAGTATTTGAAATAAAAAAGATACAAAAGGTAAAATTTTTTTTTCTGTGATCAGTTGCTTTCTGTGACATTAGAAACAGGACTTACCTTGATTGGTATTACTGGCATACCCTGAAGAGTATATTTAGCTATAGAAATTATTAATACAGTAAAAGACTCTTTACTACAAATTCTGAAAAAGTCAGAGCCTATTGTTTTTTGGTATTTCTGAGCTCATGTTTTAATAGCCCAGGCTAACCTCAGACTCTTGAGTATCATGTTTAGGTGCTTGGATTAGAAGCACAAGCCACCATGCCCAGTTTTTTTCTTTCATAAATAAGTCTGAAATTTATATTTACTTCCTTTTTTTAGATTAGGGTTTCACTATAGAGCCCTGGCCTGGCTTTGCACTTTTGATTTTCCATCCTCTTGATTCCCATGGGCAAAGGCTGGAATTATAAGTGTGTACCCCATGTCTGGTGCTGAGGATGAGGATGGAATCCAGGCTTCCTACATGCTAGGCCTTCATCCTTTATTCTTTACCTCTTGCTTCTTCCCTAATTTCTTCTCACTGGCCTTTGTCATTCCCATATCAAAATTTCTCTTACCTTGATTATCACAAGCCATACAATTTTGATAATAGTAGCAGGTAGTTCCTGTCAGGTCATAACTCTCTCTCCACACTGCAACAGGCACTCATTCAGAGGGTCAGGCAAGTGTGTGTATGTGAGTGTGTCTTATTTGTTGACATTTTTTTATGTTACTGTATTTAGCCTCACAATACCTAATTCCCCAGTTGGTAGATTGTAGAAATTAAGTCACAGAGAAGTCCAGTGACCCAAGTGACATGCTTTGAATCATGGGCGGTTGAACATATGCTGTATGAGGCACAGTCCTGAGCACCTCATTTAAGTTTTTTGTTTTTGTTGAGACAGGGTTTCTTTGTGTAGCCTGGCTGTCCTGGAACTAGCTCTGTGGACCAGGCTGGCTTGAACTCACAGCCTCTGCCTCCCAAGTGCTGGGATTAAAGGCATGCACCACCATTTTGGCTCTGGAACTTCTTAATATATTGCAATACCACCCATTTCCTTGCAAATTTCATTGTTTATAGCTAATAAAAATTCATTGTGTATCTGTATCACAAATGTTACATATCCATCAGTTGATGGGTGTGTAGGTTGACTCCATTCCTGGCTGTGTTGATTAGAGTATCAGTAAACACGGATGTCCAGGTATCTTTATGGTAGGTTGCAGAGTCCTTTGGATATATACCCAGAAGTGGAATAGTTGGGTCTTAGTAGTTCTATTTTTAGTGTTTTGATAAACATGCCCATTAATTTCCATAATAATTTCATCACTTTAGTCTCAACTGTGAATAAAGGTTCCCATTTCCCCACGTCATTGTCAACATTTATTGTCATTTGTTTTCTTGATGATAGCCATTCAGACCGGGGTGAAATGGAATTACAAAATAGTTTTAATCTTCATTTGCATTCTTGTTTTTCTTTAATATTTTTTTTTTTAGTTTTTGTGTGTTGTAGGTATTAATCCTCTGGGGTATGTATGGCTAGCAAAGATTTTCTCAGGTCGTTCTGTATGCTGCCTTTCCAGTTTGCTTTGGCTGCACAGAAGCTTTTTAGTTTCATGAACCTCCATTACTCAACCGATGTGTGTATTTTTTGAGTAAGTAGTGCCCTGTTCAGAAAGTTCAGACCTTCCAGGAAGGTTTTGAAGTTTTATCCTGTAGTTGTTTTTGTTTGTTTGTTTGTTTTTTGCTTTTTTTTGGTGTTAAAGTTTTTTCCTCTGGTTGTTTTAGGTTTTTTTGTTTGTTTGAGACTGGGTTTTTCTGTGTGACCCTGGCTGTCCTGGAACTGGCTCTGTAAATCAGGCTGGCCTCAAACTCAGAGATCTGCTAGCTCTGCCGCCTGAGTTCTGGGATTAAAGGCATGTGCCACTAGGCTGAGCTTGTTTTAGGTTTTATGTTGAGGTTCTTGATTCATTTGGAGTTGAGTTTTCTGTGGGGTGAGCAATAAGGATTGGATTCTTCTACACATAGCTACCCAGCTCTTCCACTTGTTTTGTTGAAGACTTTTTTTTTTTGTTTTTGCAGGGTTAAGAACTGAACTAATGGCTTTCCTGTCACTAACTGAACTTTCCAAGCCTTTCTTTTCTTTTCCTTCCTTCCTTTCCTTCCTTTTTTTTTTTTTTTTTTTTTTTTTTTTTTTTTTGTTGACAGAACCTGAGCCCAAGGCTTTGTCCATACAAGCCAAGCACTCTACCTTTAAGCTATGTCACCCTAGCTTTTAAAGTCTATGTTCTTTTTTTTAAAAAAATATTTTTGTTTATTTGTTTTATGTATATGAGTGTTTTGTCTGCATGTATGTAGGTATAACCCAAGCATGCCTGATGTCCATGGAGGTTAGAAGTGGGCTTTAGATCCCCTGGAACTGAAGTTTAGATGATTGGGAGCCACCATGTGGGTGCTGGGAATCAAACCTGAGTTCTCTGGAGGAGCGACGAGTGCTTTTCACCACAGATACCTCTCTAGCCCCAAAGCCTATGTTCTTATATGGCATCTGAACTGTGGAGCAGCTTAAACATATCTTGTTAACATTTGAAATATCTTCCCATACTCAAATAACGCCATCCTGACAAAACTCAAGGTAGAGGTTGACAGCTGAAGGTAACTTTATTAACAGAATCAATAGGTTGTCATGCCAAGTTCATTCACATGTTCTGTGACCCTTACGAACACTGTGCCACTAGGCATGGTGGTGCAGGCCTCTAACCCCAGCAACTCAAGAGGTTAAGGCAGGAGAATCAAAAGTTCAAGGCCTACCTGAGCTACACAATGAAGTCAAGGCCTGCCTGGGCAACTTCTTTAGACCTTGTCTCAAAATAAAAAGGAAAGAGGGAGCTGGTGCTTGCCTAGCATTGATAGTAGGCTTGGTGTCCGGTACTGTAAGAAAAGATGGAAAAAGGAAAGATGCTCATGGAACAACGGCTAGATATCTTGTCATGTTTATTTTCTGTTGCTATGGTAACACAAGTCTCTTGTGGGAGGAGAAGGTTTATTTCAGCTTATAGCTTGTTGTCCATCACTGAAGGAATTTAGGGCAGGAACTCAAGGAAGAATTCTGGAGGCAGGAACTAAAGCAGAGGCCTTCCCATGGCTTGTCAGACCATTTTCTTTTACAACCCAGTACCATCCACCAGGGGTGGCACTACCCACAGTGGACTGGGCCCTCCCACTGCAATCACTAATCAAGAAAATGCTTCACAGTTTTGCCTTCTGGCCAGTCAGATGGAGGCATTCTCAATTGAGATTCCTCTCCCCAGATGGCCCTAGTAGTGTCAAGTTGATGGAAAAACTAATGAGCACACAACCCTAAGGTAAATAGAAGGAAAGTCTTGTAATGGAGGAAGAGGGCTTCCCTCTCAGAACACTGATACAGGCATGGATGGATACCGGGCCTTCTACTGCGTGTCACATTTGTTAGCTCTTGTAGAAATTGTTGCAGAGTTATTCATTTGATTCCTTTCTGGTGGCTCTACATCTGTATTGCCTCCCCCATTCAGTTCCATGACATTCTTAAATGCATTGTGACAGTAATAACACCAAAGAGCTTTTGCCAGCCACTGGGCACTGTGCTTAGGGCTTTACAGATGTCATCTCTCTTTAATCTTCAGTTATGTACTTTTTTATGTAGTGTGGGGCATAGGATTTAGGGCCTTGTACCGGCTAGGCAAGTGCAGTACATTTTATTTGTATTCATTGTCTTTACTTAGCTCTTATAGCTGCTATAATATGAGGTAGGTATCATTATGATTTTTTCTGTTTTACAGATGAAAGAGATGTCAGAGGAATGACTGACCTGCTAGAAGCGATCTAGCTAGTAAGTACTAGAGCCAGCAGAGAGCCCAAGCCCATTCTGTCATTCTGTACTCCTTCTTGAAGGTCCAAAGCTTTCATTTGTCCCTGTTGTGTGGCTCTACCCATTGCCATCTTTCCCCTTTGTGCTTCAGATGTCCTGGCTGGGTCAGTTCCTGCATCACAGATGCTCTTTTGGCCTCTGTAGCCCCATGGGTGCTACCTCTCCTTCTTTTCTCCTTTTTATCCTTTTATCTCTCTTTCTCCCCCTCCCCCTTTCCCTCTTTCTTTCTTTCCTTCTCTCTTTCCTTGTCAGGATCTGATTATACAGCCATAGCTGTCGAGAAGCTACTAACTAACTAGCTCAAGCTGGCTTGCCCCTGCCTCCTGAGTGCTCTGGTTACAGATGTGCCACCACCTGGCCTTCTTTGTTCCTCTTTGAGCAGCAACTCTTCTTGCTCTCTTCTGGGTGGAGTCACTGTCCTTTTGTTTTCTCTGTCTTCAAAGTTCTTGTTTTAGCCAATGACTTGTGCTTGAGAACTGCTCAGACAGACCTTGACTTCCCTTGTAAGATCTGTCTGATCTTAGAAGACTTCCTTGAACATGCATTAGGAACCAAGTTAAGCATATGGCTCACTAACATTTTACCTGGGTCTTCAATTGCTATGACATGTTGCTTTATACATAGTAAGCACTTACTACATATTAGTTGATGGATTGGCTGTCAGCAAGGGGGGGTAGGACAAGGAGGGGATTGGCTGTAGAAATGTATCCTAGGGAACATAATCTTTATTTTCTTCATCTCTGTATTTTAGGAGCAGGTTGTTTATTTTTAGAAATCTTTTCTGTTTTTTTAATAGATTTATTTATTATGTATACAGTATTATGCCTGCATGCCAGTAGAGGGTACTGTATCTCATAGATGGTGAGCCACCATTTGGTTGCTGAGAATTGAACTCAGGACCTCTGCAGGAGCAGTGTTCTTAACCACTGATCCATCTCTCAAGCCCTGGTTACTTATTTATGTCTTTATTTGTTTATTTATATTTGTGGTACTAGAGGTTGAACCAAGGGCCTCACAAATTCTACCACTGAGGTATGTCCCCAACCTTCTTATTTTGAGACAGATGGCCTGAAAATTGCTATGTAGATCAGGCTGGGTGCAAACTCACAGACACGTGCCTGTCTCACAGAGATGTGCCTGTCTCTGTAACCCAAGTGCTGGAATTCAAAGTGTATATACCATACCCAACTTTTTTTTTGAGACAGAGTCTCATGTAGTATATGCTGGTATTAAATGTAATTTACAGCTAAGGATGACCTTGAACTTCTGATATTCCTGCTTAAACCCAGAGCTTTGTGCATGCTAAGCAAGCACTCTGCCAACTGAGCTACATCTCCAAATTTTAAAATTTGAGACAGGATCTCATTAAGTTAGCCAGGCTAACTTGAAGACTCTGTATAGTCTGGATGGACCTTGAACTTACTACCATCTTTCTTCCTTAGCCTCCTGAATTGATGGGATTATAGGCTTATACTATCAAGTGGGGGCTTGGAATGTGTCTTACATGCCCTAAGTTGTACTCAAGAGGTATGTGCTAGTATTGTGGTTCCATAAGTAGTTGTAAATAAATGAAGGACTTTATAAATTGTGTTTCCACATCCACCTTTCAGTGGGTGAATTATAATGTGCTTCTTTGATTGGCAGGCATCAAGAGATGAGTCCTAATGGCCAACCCAAGATTACTCCTTTCCAGGGTGGGTTTCTTCTCCAACCCAGGACTTGGTTGGTGTACTGCAAAACGAACAGATTTGTCACAGTCCTTTTTGGGCAGAGCACATGAGGGAAATTTCACTGGTGTGATAGTTAAAAAGCATCCAAACCAACAAAAATACCAGAGGAAACAAAAGCATTTTAGATCACTACATGACTCCTGGCAAGAGAGGTAAGACTCAAGTTGACGCCATTTGGTTTAAGCAAGTCAGAATCTCTGGTTCCACTGAAGTTCTGACTAATGTGACTAATATTAGTCACTGCTAATCTGACTAATATAGCATTATGAGGATTCATGAGAATACTTGAAGTTGTGTGATCAGGGCAATCTTGGGGACTTGTGATGGATTGTAATAGAACTACTTTTGGGTTATAGGAAATATTCTTGTCTTAGAGTGCATCTTTGTCAGAAAGGAGATCTTAAATTAGGAACTCACTTCTAAAGGTCTATGGAATTGAACATGGTGGATACTTGTAATTGCTGCAATCATGAGGTGGAGTCAGGAAGATCTAGAGACATTCTCAGCGATATAGCAAGTTTGAGACTGGCCTGGAATACTTGAAGCCTTGTCTCCCAAAACAAATAAAAACAAATTAAAACAACTTAAAAACTAAGAAAATCTAAATCAAAATACTATTCCGGGCATGATGGTTCATGCCTTTTATCTCAGTGCTTGGAAAGCAGAAGCAGTTGGCAAGTTCAAGGCCAGGCTGGTTTACATATAGAGTTATAGACCAGCCAGGGCTACATAGTGAGACCCTGTCTCAGAGGTGGGGGCAGACAGAGAGAGAGAGAGTGGGAAGAAAAACTCCTATATGAATTGGGTATGCGTAGTCCTATTATAGCCAAACAAGCACATATATACCTCATTTTATGTAACCAATGTGTTTTGGAAATCAAATTGTATTTTAAAAGCATTAAGGAGGTGAGCTTTTTGGAGGCTCCTAGAAGTAAAGCTTTTTGTAATATGACTAATTACCACCTAATAAATCTGGATTTTTCTTATATTGAATTTGTTATTCTGTTCTGCTTTGTTAAGTAGTAGACATCACCAACATGGGCTGTTCTCCCAGACTCCTATCTCCTTGGGGAATTTCAGTTAAACATCAGAGAGACTGGTGGCAAGAAGTACTTATGCATAGAAGGTGCTAATACATATTTAGATCATTAATATGTTGGAATTATTTTATGCTAGGCTGGCAGATGTTGTGACTCCACTCTGGAGGCTGAGCTATGAAGAACAGCTCAAGGTATGTGTCTAGCTTTAGTCTTCTTTCCCTACTCCTGCCGCAGAAAGGCACTAGACTTAGGAAAACCAGTTCAATCCAGTTGCCTCACAGGTCCTTTTGTTTTTATTTTCGAAGAAAAGTGTCATGTATCCCAAGCTGGTCTCCCTCCCACCCTGTAACTAAGGATGATCTCCAACCGTTTGATCCTCCTGCCTCCTACATTACACATAGCTTATACAGTTCCCAGGCTTTACCTAGGATTTCATAAGTGTCAGACAAGCACTGTGTCAAGGAAACCAGTTTCCTCCTGCATTACAGGAGTGCATTATCACACTGTTTATACAGTTCCCAGGCTTAACCTGGGGTTTCACAAGTGCCAGACAAGCACTGTGTCAAGGAAACCATTTTCCCAGCCCACACTGCAGGTCTTTAAATTTGGTTTGCTATTGACTCTGGTGTTTGAACTTTAGACTAGTTATAGCTTCTAAACTCTAGACCCATATATCCAATTGCTGATGTTATCTTTGATTTTCTTGTCATTCTGGTGTGTATGAGTAATAATATAGTGCAATTTCTCAACACAGGAGCCACCAGCCACATACGTCTGTTCAAATTTAAGTGTAGTCAATTTTGCCATAATGCTTGCTTTGAAAACAAATTTGTTCCAGTGGATTGATGTATTAGAGAACAATTTGAGCATAATGCAGATTTCGTGTTTGCCAGGAGCAATTTTGTTCATGAGAAGTGCTAGATGAAAGAAGGAAATTGCACCCAGTTGAACTGGGCTGTATAAGAATACATAAAATGTATATACATATATGTCAACCACCTACTTGTTCCATCAGTTCTCTGAGGATGTTATGGACCATACCTATTCACTGCTGGTGACCAAATACTCCATCCAGTGTAATTTTTGGCACCTGTGTCTACAAACAAATCTTAGGTCTTTGGGGGAACATTCTAGGCCTGTTGTCATATTCTTCTTTCTTTTCACAAAATTTTAAGATTTATTTATTATTTTATATGTATGAGTATTATACCTACATGTATGTGTGTGCACCATGTTTATGCTCAGTGCCTTCAGAGGTCAGAAGACATTAAATCCCCTGGAACTGGAGTTACAGACAATTGTTAGCCACCATGTGGATTCTGGGAATCAAACCTGTCTCCTTTGCAGGAACAAGAGCTCTTAACTGATGAGCCAGATCTCTAGCCCCATATTCATATTTTATTTTAGTAATTTGACATACATAAAGTGGTGCTGTTCTTGTCACATCCTGTTTTAGAAAGTGCAAGAGTATTTGCATATGTACACACACACACACACACGCACACACACGCGCGCATGCACACGCACACACACACACTCATTACACTCAGCTATAAGAATGACAATAAAAAGGTTGGCATGGTGCCTTTCATACCAGCACTTGGCAGGCAGAGATAGGTGGTTCTTGAGCTGGAGGTAAGCCCAGTCTATATAATTCGTTCCAGTCCAGCTAGGGGTACATAGTGAGACTGTCTTAAGAAAAGAAAGAGCAAGGGGAGCAAGGGGATGGAGAGATGACTCAGTGCTTAAGAGCACTTGTTGCTCTTCTGAGGCCCTGGGTTTAATCCCTAGCCTCCACATGGCAGCTCACAACCATTGGTAATTGTAGTTCCAGGGGATCTGACACCTTGTTCTGCACATGCATGCACGTGTGCGTGCACATGCAGGTAAAACACCCAGACACAATAAAATAAAAACAAGTAAATTTTAAAAATTGGAAATACCTAAAAACAAAGAATGACAGAAAGAAACCAAAGCCCAGATGACAAACAATCAAAGCACCTTGAATGGTATTTGCTGGGAATGTGGAGAAGTCAGGTGATGGCTATGACCAGTAGAAATAAGAACACAAGGACAGAGAGGTCAGGTATGGAGAACAGGACCAGCAGGAACAGAACATACAGTGACCTTAAAGAAAATTGAATGCAAGGTGTTTGGTGCAGGACTCAAGACAAGGTTGGGCAGGTCTACTTTGGGAAGGGCTGCCATTAGGACATCGTATTACAATCACATCCCTCCCTCTGATTTCTTCTCCTAAAGCTGCTCACCTGTGTGAATTACCTGATGCACTTTAGACTGTTGTGTGCCTTGCTTTATTTCCCCAGTGAGCCTTTCCTAGACACGTTTCCAGTGCTCTGGCCACACGTGACTAGTGGCTACTGTTTGTGGAGAACATAGCACAGGCAGAACATTTCCATTATAGGATGTTCTACTGGGCTGCACTGACAGCTACTTTAAGTGTTTAATCTTAAAGGTCAGATGAAAAGATGAGCTCACACAGAACTCCCTCTTGACCTTTCCTTAGCATCTTATTAAGTCTTCGTCTGTGCTGGATTTCCTGCTTCTCTTATCTGCTAAGTGCATAACCGGTGGATCTTGGAGAGATCCTCTTTGTCTTGTTTTCTATTCTTTGCAGTGAAAATATAATTCCTTTCTGCATTGCATGTATTCTTTCTGTTGCAGGTGAAATTTGAAGCTCAAAAGAAAATTTTACGAAAACTGGAGTCTTACCTACAAGTGCTCCATGGAGTTAGTGGAACAGCAGTCACACTCCATTCGGAGGGGCTGCACTGTCACCTCCATCCTATTATACCTTCTGTAAGTCCCCACCTCCCTAGTTCTTACCTACTATGGCTCTGGAATGGCTAATGATATCAGCATTGTTCACTAGGCACTTAATGGGGCCAGGTGATTATCTTGCATCATTTTCTCATTCTTCTGTTTATAATGGCCCTGAGGGATAGGTACTGTCATTTTGTAAATGAAGCTATCAGAGAATACAGAGATTAGGCAATTTACTGAAGGCACACATCTAGAAAGTGTCAATGCCAGTGTTTACATATTCTGGACTGCTTGATACAGATCCCACTTTATCAGTCACTACCATGCTTCCTCTTCAGGCAGATTTCAGGCTTTAAAAAACCTCCCTAACAAATAGCAGAATTTCATTTATGGCAGAAGTTGTCATACCGTGTCCCTTAGACCAAATCTGTCTTTTTGTATTATAGCCTAACTCATCTGTTTGTGTCTGTGGCTGCTTTCAGGGGGACAGTGTCACTTTTGAGTAGGTATGACAGGTGCCATATATCCTGCAAAGCTTAAACTCTTCCAGCTCTTGACAGGTCAGATTTGCTAGCTCCTGATTTATGGCAAGATTGGAATTTCTTTTTCAGAGTAGCAAGGAAACTATTGAATCGCAGACCAACAGAACAGATCAGAAATATGTTGTCAAGAGTATTTGGATCATTTCAGCCACAGAGTTTTTCACATGTACCATGCCTTCCAAGTCAGCAACACTGGTCCCCATCCAGAGAACATGGCTGCATTCTCTTGCTTGTTGTCCTCTTTGATTTTGTTTGATCTCTTGTTCTCTTTTCTTTCCTTCTGTCCTCTCCAGCCTATGGTTGATGGCTACCGAAATAAGTCCACCTTCTCTGTGAACCGGGGCCCAGACGGCAATCCAAAGACTGTGGGGTACTACCTAGGAACTTGGAGAGGTCAGTTGAAAACAAAGCAAAGCAGACAAAAGTACAAACCAGTGATGGAGAAGGATGAGGGGGGCACAGATAACAGCGTCAATAGGCATGGAACACACAGACCTTAAAGAGAGCTGCCTTTGATGCACCTCATGATCACAAGGTTGATCTGGGTTAATTTCTGATGGTTTTAACAGTGATAGTTATCACTGCCCTTGCCTATTCTTCCTCGAAATGCAGTTTACCAGATAACCCAGTGAGGGCATAGAGTAATGTTTCTGTTATCAGTGCTGCCACCTCATTATTGCCATTGTAATCTTTACTTTTGCTCCGTCATACTGGGAGCAGTGCCCTCATTGTTTGTGAGTCCCTATCAATCCCTATCCTCATAGGCCTAAAACTAGAGCTTTCTCTGCTGAATCCATCTTAAGCCAATTGGCAAGGAAAGGGGGTACAGGTGAGGGAATCTCAGTGGCATTTTCTGAAATTCAATTCCTGCATCCATTCCCAGATTCCATTCCTGAGCTCATTATTTCCCCATTTTCAATAAATCAACTCAAAGCACCTTCATTTGATGTTAGTCACACAGTTTAATATACATATGTCTTCAACTACAGTTCTTTAGGGCAAGCAATGCATTTGACTTTTCCCTTCATGTACTGAATTACATGACTTTATGAATGTCAGTGTTCTATTGTTCAGTAATAGAAAAACAAAACCCATTACATTTTATTTCCCTCTTAAAGTCTGAACAAAAAGCAGATATTGTCACATGGCACATTCACGGTATGAGAGAAGTGTTTAGGACTAGCTCCATTAAGAATTAGCTGATGAATGGCTAAACGAGGGAGCAGTTAGGTTTTCTCTGAAAAAAATAGCTATGTACTTGAAATTGGCCTTTTGTGTCTTTGTATCAACATATGCCTCCGAAGGAGGGACTTCCAGCTGCTGGGTTAGGATGAATACCATATAAATAATAATTATTTTTTTTTCATAGATGGGAATATCATCTGTGTACCATGTAGCCATCTGAAAAACATCCCAGAGAAACACAGTCAAGTGGCTCAGGTAAAAAATGAACAAGGGCTAGTAGAAGATGACCTGGGGCATTGTAGTCTCTAACTGCACTGTCCCTGACATTTTAATATGATTAATCACAGCCTGCTGTGATTGCTGGAGGAAAGGAGGGGCCCTGTGCTGAAAGCCTATCTTATGTGGGCAGAACATCGCCCAGTTTTGTTCCGGGGACGGGAGAGAGTGGGAGGCAGAATTGCTGTTGTTATTGGAAATGTCAAGGGGTCCAAGGACATTAGTAGTAGGGAATAAGCAGGAAAAAAGTACTGCTGAGACCACAGTGTTGAGTCAGGTGTTCCAAATATTTGAAAGGTTAATGTTTTCAGCAGAACAAAGAAAGAACATAGAAATACCATGAGAGTTGTAGGCATGGCAGTAAGGATGTATTATGAGACTGAGCTGGGGACATAACTCAGTGGTAGACTGCTTGTTTAGCATGGATGAAGACCTGGCTTTGATTCCTGGTACCACAAAGAAGCAAATTTCTCATGGGATTGACCCCTGAGACATCTTTCAACCCCAACTATGGGGTGCTTACTGTGTTTCAGGGAGTGTACCTGGAACAGGGATACAGTGGCCACTCGGTTTAAATGATACCTGTGCTCACAGATCTGAACCCCCAAAAGTTGAAGCCTTGCCGAGGATTGAACTAGACTCCCAAATGACTCTCTTCCTCCCCATCATTCTTACCAGCACGTACCATTTTAATGATTCTTGCTTCTGACATTGGGGTGCTGCTCTTTCATGTGGCATGTGATAACTTCCAGGACTCCTCATCTATGGCACAGCTGTTTTTGTAGACTTATTTTCCAGAATCCCCATGCCCTTCAGAATCACCTTGTTCCTATTTTTGTTGGGAGTTTTCTATTTTATTACATTTATTTATGTGCACGGTGTGTGTGTGTGTGTGTGTACATGTGTACATGTGTGCTGTGGTACACATGGGGAGGTCAGAAGGTAAGAGTCTCGGGCATCAAACTCAGGTTGTCAATGTTGGTGCTAAGCACTCTTCCTAAACTCTTACCTTTTTTGTATTTTTTTAACTTACTACCTTTACCTTTGGTTTTGAAAGATTACCATAAAAAGCTCTTAGAAGCAAAGTTCTCTGGCTGTTTGTTCATCTACAAAATCACTGAAATCCGACTATTCTTTACTTCTGTCTAAAGTGCAAGATGTAGTTGTTTCCCCTTTCCCCCATCAAAGCTTATGCATCTCTTTGTTTGGACCCACTTTCTGCTTCTTAGCTTCCTGGCCCTTCATTATACACCCCTTCTGTTTCTTCTCGTGCCTCCTTAAGCTCATTGTACTTCATAGTGTGATTAATATTTTTCACCTTTTAAGAATTTCTGATCGTTCTTACTTATGTTCTGATGACTCTAGTGAAATTGCTATTGCCTGTGCCATCAGTGAACTTGGTTTTCCATCAGTGAACTTCGATTTGTCAAAGCCCATAGAAGCTTTCTGCCCCTAGCTTACTCTTTTCTCGTTCTTTAGCACTGTGTGTGCCTTATTCTTGTTTCCCTCCTGAAACACTGCCTTTGTCATTTGGTTTGTGATACCATTCTCTGATGGCTTTCCTCCTATCTGTTTTCTAAATATTTTTTTTATTAGTGTGTGTGTGTGTGTGTGTGTATGTGCAAGTGCTTGCGAAGGCTCGACTGCACCTACAGTCATAGGCAGCTATGATCTACCTGGTGTGGGTGTTGGGAACCAAGCATGGCCTCTGGAAGAACGACAAGCTCTCTTAACCCTTTACCCATCTCTCCAGCCCCAACTTTCCTCCTATTTTGTTGGCCACTTCTTAGTCTTTCCCATAGGATTTTACAAACATCAGTTCTCCTTTTCCTACTATCATTGTTGGCATTACTGATGACTCTATCCTAGGCCTTCTTCTTTCTGAATATATTCTTGGAAGATAGTATCCAGCCTTAACTGGTACCTTGAATAGTTTCTTAATAAATGGATAGCTGTTATCTTGTATTTACATTCCATTATCTTCTTTTTGTAATTTGTTTTCTTATTTTACATATTGATCCCAGTTCCCTCTCCCTTCCATCCTCCCATGCCCCCCCATAGACCCCTGCATCCCCTCCCCTGCCTCCAGCCCTTCTTTCAGTGCATTCTCTTACTCAGAGTCCAGCCATCTATTAACTGACCATTCTTCTCAAAGTTCTACAGCGGTTGTCCAGTCATTTTTAACTCTTTAAAAAAATTATGCTGTGTTTGTGTTTGTATGTGTGTATTTGTGTATACATGTACACACACGCCATGGCACACCTGAAGAGATCTGAAGACAACTTACTAGAGTTAACTGTCTCATACCATGTCGGTTCCAGGGATCAAGCTCAGGTTGCCAGAATTAGCAGCAATTGCCTTTATCCACTGAGCCATCTTGCCATCCCTGCCCATTATTTTTCAGAATGAAAGTTTAAATTCTTTTCCTATTCACTTTAGGATCTTCATGGCAAGGTTCCCAGCCTTATCTTCTGCCCTGTACCTCCCTGCTTTCTTCATCCCATTTGTACTGAACCCCTGTGATACTGCTATTCTATCTCATTCCTTCCTGCCTGCTCTATCTAGAATGTTTTCAGTTTGCAACTCATCCCCACCACCACCACTGCTATTTATTCTCCAAGATTCACTTCAAGCATCAGTTCTATAGAAAACTATATCCAACTCCTCAGTCTGATTAAGAATCCCTGTCGCTGTATGTGTTATCTCTAGTGTGCATCTCTTGTACAGCACCTGGTACACCATATTTCATTGTCTGTGGGTGCTTCCCACACTAGTCTGTGGATATAGCTGCTCTGTCTTATCTAACTTTAAATAGCACTGAGTACTGATTCATACACAATGTGTGTGAGTGTGGCACATTTGATGAATTAATACTTATTGTCTTTTTTCCATCTGTCTTCTTTAGATTATTTTGAAGCACATAGTAGACATGTCACATAAAATGTAAATATTTTGATATGAGTTCTGGGAGAAGGAAATTATTTTTTAAAATGTAACCTTATACGACAACTCCACCTAAATAAGAACATTTACCCATAATATAAAATACCTGCTTTTTAAGTTTGACATTAATTTATCTAGTGTTTTTATTTTTTTCAAGACAGGTTTTCTTTGTCTAATATCTCTGGCTGTTCTGGAACTCACTCTGTAGACCAGGCTGGTCTCAAACTCACAGAGATCCGTCTGCCTCTGTCTCCCGAGTGCTGGAATTAAAGGTGTGTGCCACCACCCCAGATTTGTGTTTTGATGTTTCTTATAGTTGTTTTTCTCAAGTCAGGATTTTAACAAGATTTGTTCTTGGTGTCGTTGGGGTTGGGGTCCAGGCTTCCCATAGTTAGCAACATCTATGGATGCTCAAGTCCCTTTTATGGGAAATGGTGTGGTGTTTGCATATCACCTCTGTATGCTCCTCTTCCCATATATTTAGTTGATCTCTGGATTACTTGCAGTTCTTAATACAAGGTAAACCAACAGCTGTGGAAATAATTGTTACACTGTACTGTTTGGGGGCAAAAAAGAAAATGGTCTACAGATGTTCAACGCAGATACCTTTTTAAAACATTAGCTTAAAAAGTTTATTCATTTTGTTTATGGGGGACCAGGGGAGTGTGCCATAGCATGAATGTGAAGAACAGAGGGCGACTTGTAGAATTCGGTTCTCTTCTTTCACCGTGCGGGTTCTGGGGATTAAACCCAGCTCATCAGGCATAGGTAGCAAAAAACTCCCTCTGAGACATTTTTCTAGGCCATGGCTCTACATGTTTATTTTTACTTTTGATTTTTTTTTTTGTCTTTTTGAGTGTGAAGGACAGGCTGCCATAGAACTCCCTGTGTAGCTCATTCGACTCTCAGACCTGCACTTATTTTCCTGCCTCAGCTTCTGAGAGCTGGGAATAGAGGTGACTTTTTCAGATTAAAAAAAAAAAAAAGAACTTTATGTTTTAATTTTGTGCATCTATAATGTGCATGGACCCATGGGTGTGAGGTGTGTGCACTTAAGGGCATGGGATGCCCTTCCCTATCAGAATGTGCCATATTCTCTTGAGACAGGGCTTTTACTGAATCTAGACCTTTTGAGTTTTGGCAAGACTGAATGCTGGCAAGTCCCAGAGTCCCTCCTGGTTTTCTCTGCCATCCACCGTTGCTGGGATTACAGGTACATGCCAGTATGCCAAGCTTTTTTCTTTTTCTAAACATTGGTGCAAAACCCCAAACTCAGGTCTGTATACTTGTACAAATACCTACTAGACCAAGATTTTGATGTTTTTATTTGACTTTGTTTTATGTGCATTGGTATAAAGATGTCAGATCCCCTGGAACTGGAGTTACAGATAGCTGTGAGCTGTCATGTGGGTGCTGGGAATTGAACCTGGGTCCTCTGGAAGAACAGTCAGTGCTCTTAACTACTGAGCCATCTCTCCAGACCCAAGATTGTGATTTTTTTTAAAAGATGTTATTTATTTGTACCGTGTGTGTGTGTGTGTGTGTGTGTGTGTGTGTGTGTGTGTCCGTCCATGTCCATGTGTCCATGTCCCATGTTGGTCTTGAGCTTACTGTGTATGACCTTGAACTTTTTTTCTGAAACAGTATTTCACCTTGTAGCCCTGTCTGTCTGGCCTGAACTCACAGGGATCTTTGTGCCTCATTCTCCAGAGTGCTGAGGTTAATAAAGGTGTGTACCACCATGCCAGGGTGATGTTGAACTGCTTATCCTATTGTTTCTACTTCCTGGAATATTACTGCTGTGGTTACAGGCATGTGCCACCACACTTGCTTTCTGTGGTACAGGGGATTGAAGTCAGGATCTTGCACATGCATAGTCCCAAATGAGCTATATCTTCATCTTAGTAGACTTGTTTTTATTGTTCCTTTGATTTAATTTCATTTTATAATTTTGTGAAAGAGCTACACGATTCTAGAGACATTTAGAAAATAAAGTTTCATTTAGAGAGATCAAATTTTGCTGGGTGTGGCACATG